TGAGCACAGGGCCCAGTGTAGGACTCAGTCCCACAACCCTGAGGTCATGACCTGAACTGAAATCGAGTCAGACCCTTAACCGACTGAGCCATCCAGGTGCCCCAGGATCATCTTATATATTTTTAATGTGCATGGCTGAGTACTAGGATGAAATTGGCCTAATCATCTTCCTTTTGTTTTGACAACCCTTAGATTTCTTTCCTCTTACAGTTCTTAGGTTCTTGTTGTGGAAAGCAGGTACATTCTAAGTTATGCTAATTATTCTTTCATGAATGCTCTGTAAATTTGCATTCATCCCATTTTCTAGATTTTGGTTTGTTTTTAAGTTTTTCTCTCTGTTTGAATGTTTGTATATAAAATTAAAAGGCTAATTCACATTTTGCTTTCTCTTAAATTCTGAGAATCTAAGTTTTCATTAGATTAAATTAGATTGCACTAGTGAAGTGCAGAAGCAGTTGTTTAGAAGCAATAATTTTTTTGCTTTATTTTTTAGCTTTATTGTGGTATAATTGATAAACAATAAACTGTACATATATAATATATACATTTTGATGAGTTTTAACATATGTATCTGTAATACCATTACCATAATTAAGATAGTGAACATATCTGTCACCACCTAAATTTTCTCATGCTTCTCTGTAATCTCTACCTCCCTCCTTTCCCTCCCCATCCCCAACCTCTGTAGATTAGTTCATATTTTCAAAAATGTTATAGAAATGGAATGATGTGGGGCGCCTGGGTGGCTCAGTCGTTAGGCGTCTGCCTTCGGCTCAGGTCATGATCCCGGGGTCCTGGGATCGAGCCCCGCATCAGGCTCCCTGCTCCGCGGGAAGCCTGCTTCTCCCTCTCCCATTCCCCCTGCTTGTATTCCCTCTCTCGCTGTGTCTTTCTCTATCAAATAAATAAATAAAATCTTTAAAAAAAAAAAAAAAAGAAATGGAATGATGTAGTATGTGCTCCCTTTTTTTCTGATTTTTTCTGCATAATTAGAGGTTGATCCATGTTACTGCATAGATAAGTAATTTGTTTATCCATTTACTTGTTGATGGGTGTTTGGTTTGTTTCCAGTTTTTTGGCTACTATACATAGAGCTGTTAATGTTACTATGCTGGTAAATTTATTTCTTAATTCATTTCATGTTTGCATGACAACATGGCCTTCTAGTTGAAGTTTTTTTACCAAACTGAAGCTGAATTTCTTGATTTAATTCTTTATTCAAAATCCTTTTTGGAAATTCCATAGTGAAATGAATGCAGGAGAGCATGTGTTCCCATTGACTCAGCCCCTTGTCACGTCACCTGACCAAGTTGAGGTCATCTGTCAGTCCTGATCTTGCTGGGCTCTTGGGAAGTCCATTTTGGTTCCAGTAGTCTTCTGTTAACTCGTAACTCTCCAGTGCCTACTTTTTAAGTGAAGTGGTCCTGTTCTATGAGATTTGGAGAGGGTTCTGCTCCATTAGTTTAGACCTGGGAAAGAAAGTTACATTTAAATTTTATATGTTATTTAACTGCTCTGCTTTTGTTTCACCTGCCAAGTATCCCTGATAGTATATGTTTGATAGTTATTTTGTTGTTGTTGATGGAGTTGTGACAATTTTCAAACCCTATTACTTTCTCTTGACAGTAGGACTAGTGTACAGTGCTAAAAGCATCTAGATAACTTGGTAATCCCAGGGGCCTTATTTTGAAATTTTGGTATTATCTCAGTAACATTTTTCTGTGCTTCAGGATTTATTTTAACTAATGACTTAAGGGAAATGCAGGGTACATATAGAATATATAGTATAATGGCCTGAGAATATTAACATTGCAGATTTGATTATTTGCCATCAGTAGCCTAGTAAATTGCTCTCAGCTTCCTCTCTCCTCCACTTGTCCTATTTAAAAAGTGAACTTAATTACTAATCAGGGATTTTTACCAGGCTTCTACAGTGTAATTGTACAGATTTTGGAGGAAAGCATTTAATTGAACACAAGAGTGCTGACTCCTATTCTTTACTTAAGTAAACAAGAAATTATAAAAACAGGGCAAAGCTGTTATTATTTTCACAACTATGGAAGGAGACCACCCACACTTCAGAAACTCAGTGTCTGCTGGGTGTCTGTTAGCATTAGAGATGCACAGCACTCCTGTACCTGTCCCACATAAACATACTTCTCATTGTTTAGTATTCCAGCAGAGAATGTAAAGGGAGGCATGTTGAACTTCTAAGCCATTCCTATACAGAATTAGATCTAAATAATTACTGTGTGGTTACAAAACCATGAAAATGTTTTTCATGATTTTTGAAAGAGAAGCTTACCTAAGTAGAGATCACCAAAAGCAGAAAGGGAAGATTTAGAGAAATAAGTTTGCTAATTTTCCTATCTTGAATAAAAAGGACCAGTAGATACCATTTCAGTCTTCAGTTGTAAAGAAGATTTAGTATCAACAGAAATAGTACTACATACACAATTAAAAACTCAAGGAGTTAATACTCATTTCACTTTAAATGTTTTCATGTAATCACATGTATCATTCAAAATAGGAAGCATGCATTTTGAATCATTAAAAAGAATAATCAGAAAAAAAAATGTATCCTGTATGGAAAAAGACACAAAACAATACTTTATTTGGAAATTATCTTTCCTCAGAAGTTCAAGGCACTTTTTAAAATTGTCTTTACTGGGCGCCTGGGTGGCTCAGTTGGTTAAGCGACTGCCTTCGGCTCAGGTCATGATCCTGGAGTCCCGGGATCGAGTCCCGCATCAGGCTCCCTGCTCAGCAGGGAGTCTGCTTCTCCCTCTGATCCTCCCCCATCTCATGGTCTCTCTCTCTGTCTCATTCTCTCTCTCTCAAATAAATAAAATCCTTAAAAAAAATAAAATAAAATTGTCTTTACTTGGCATATTTCTTAGAAGAAATTCCTTCAGGGTGTTTTCAGTTTTTTTTCTAAATTACATGGAATTCTATTCTTAGTTTATTAAATGTTAATTAGGGGTGGATGTTGCATTATAACAAGTGCCTTTTTAGGTACAAAATGACATTTTGATGGAAAGTTTTTCTTCTTGGACATGGTGATGTAATAAATATATCAGTAACCTAATATTAAACCATCTGCATAACTAAAATAAATCCCACTGGGACTTAGTAGATTACTCTTAATAGATTTGATTTACCAGCATTTTAATATACAGGATGGGACTGGTCTGAAGTTTTCTTTTGTGTTTGCTGTGGTAGGAGAGTTGGGAAACTTCCTATTTTTCATTTGTTCATGTAGTCATTAATTGGGGTCTAAAGCCAGAAAAGAGAGAAGTTTTGTTCTTCCCTTTCCAAATCACTTAGCCAGAACTAAAAGCAACAGTACTATAATTAAATTACATATATTACTGCTTAGCTAGGTTTTTTCAGGCTAGCTTGGGAACCAAACTACCATTTAAGGCTTTTTTTTTCTTCTCTGTAGGAAAAATGTGGAGCAGGTTCCAAATAACTGATTGAAGAGTGGGCTTGTGTGTGTTTTCCTCCTTCCCAGCCTCTCTATCAGTACGATCATGCGGCCATGTATCATCCCCTGGATGTCACTCAGCTGATGAATTCATGCTGGTGACCATGAATATTTAATGGTTTAATCTACAAGTATTTTAAGTAGTAAAGCACATCAGTAAACCTGATGAAAGCTTGGATGTAGAACCAAAGCCTAATTCATACATTCCTGGTGAGACTTTAATTGATAGAACTTAGACAGTTCTTTACATCTTAAAGTTTTTTTTGACCACTTCTGTCTATAGATTAGTTAAAGGAAGTAATTATGGATATATGTAGGGATTTAGTTACAAGGATACACAGTAAAGCCTGCTTTATAACTGTAAAGATTTATAGATAACCAAAATGCTCAGCAATAGGGAATTATTTAAATGAGTATGGATAATTAAATAATGGAATATTATGTAGCCATTAAAATGTTACTAAAAAATACATTTGACACTGAAGGGTGTCCATAATATGCAAAGTGAAAAAACATTTTATAAAACTTGAAGGTATCATATAATCTCATTTTGAAAAATAGGTATGGAAGCACATGTATGCACTCACAGATACAAAACCTGCAATAGTACATACCAAAATGAAGGTAGAGATGTTCTCTTGAGGACATGAGATTATGGGTGACTGTTTACTTCTTTTTATTGGTGTCATTGGGTTTTCTGGAATGAGCATACATTACTTCTGTAATAAAAAAACACTAAGAAAGAAGGAGCATACATTACTTCTTTTTTTTTTTTTTAAAGATTTTATTTATTTGACAGAGAGATAGCGAGAGCAGGAACACAAGCAGGGGGAGTGGGAGAGGAAGAAGCAGGCTTCCCGCCGAACAGGGAGCCCGATGTGGGGCTCAATCCCAGGACCCTGGGATCATGACCTGAGCCGAAGGCAGACACTTAACAACTGAGCCACCCAGGCGCCCGCATACATTACTTCTGTAATAAGAAAAAAACACTAAGGAAGAAGGAACAAATGCCAGCACAAATAGAATATGTAGAAATTATGTCTCCATAGAAGAAATGTGTACCTAGAAAATGAAATGATAGTATAAACTCCTTGATTTTTTTTTTTTTTTTTTAAGATTTATTTTTGAGAGACAGCACGCATGAGAGCATGAGGAGGGGAAGCATAGGGAGAAGCAGACTCCCCACTGAGTAAGGAGCCTCTTGCGAGACTCGATCCCAGGACCCTGGGATCATGACCTGAGCCGAAGGCAGACGCTTAACTGACTGAGCCACCCAGGCGCCCTCCTTGGGTTTTTAATTGTGTATGTAGTACTTAATATTTCTGTTGATACTAAGTCTTATTAAGCAAAAAAGGCCAGGTCCAGGTCTCCCTGAAGACTCATTTAGAAAGATCCACTTCTGTTCTCGTCACTTTTTTTTTTTCTTCTAAAACATATTTTGACTCTTTGCAGCCTTGAAAGCAATTCTTCCATTTAAAAATTCTTTGTGCTTACTTTTGGGGTTATTTGACAGACCGTCTGGACATTCGAGCAGCCCGGATTCTTCTGGATAATGATCATTATGCTATGGAAAAACTGAAGAAAAGAGTGCTGGAATACTTGGCTGTCAGACAGCTGAAGAACAACCTGAAGGGCCCTATTCTATGCTTCGTTGGCCCCCCTGGAGTTGGTAAAACAAGTGTGGGAAGATCAGTGGCTAAAACTCTTGGTCGAGAGTTCCACAGGATTGCACTTGGAGGAGTGTGTGATCAGTCTGACATTCGAGGACACAGGTAGACTCTCTCTCTCAGTTTAGTCTCTGGTTCTCCATTTCAGTTGACTAAAGCCCTTCAAAAGCCAAGGCATAATATATATCTTTTTCTCGAAGGTCTATTTGTGACATCTTGAATCAAAAGGACATTCATAGTACTTAATTATAGTACATCTGTAGGATGTTTATGACTGGTTTAGAGAGCCTCAGCTGTAATGGTACATCCAAACTAACCTCGGTATTTGTATGACAGTGGATAACGAGTCTTTGCCTCAGCTTTCCTGGAATTTCATTTGAATGCAATTATAAATCAGTTATGGTTAGATATTACAGTGTCTTTACATTCATTTTGGCCCAGTAGCATTTCATAAATAATGACCTGTAACTCTTAGAGTTTAAAAAATAAGTACAACAGCTGGGGCAGGTAGGAGAAGGGAAGAAATCTTTGATAACAAATGTGTTTGCAGTTTAATTTTCTTTTAAGAAGGCTGGTTTTCCGTAGGAGTATGAGTAATAAGGAGAAAGGTTAAGATAATTATTAAGATCTATCCTTGCATTTTTGACACCTTTTCTGTAAAAATACATTAAACTGTGAGAACTGAATCTTTAATTAATCTTACATTATTAGAATCAGATTTGCATGTTATGTTGTTGTTTTGTTCTCTATGGTCTCTGTTGCTCAGATTGGAAGATGCTTTGGGAAAGCATGAACTTTTTGTTTCGAGGTTTAAGGGTTTCATAGCAGTTGCGAGTTGTGAGAAAATACACCTATAGTGTATGTATTAAAGAACATTTTAAAATGTAGAAATCATGGATGCTTATAAAAGAATATGATGTTGTAAACCTGAAACTAATGTCAGTGATATCTCAGCTTTTTAAAAAAAAGTTTTTCTAAAGAAGCTGCTTAACTTCCAGTAGAAAGTAATCAAACTGAAGATAAAACTTCTCAAGGTCATACCCTGGGTCTTAAAGTTGTTAAAGCAATCTAAATTATAAGTGGAGGCTTTGAAAAGCATGCCAGTGCGGGTGGTGACCACCAACTGCCAAGGCCAAGTCTAATTTAAATGCATATTTACAGTTTGGTGAATGGATTAAACTTGGATTGTGGGGGGGGGGATATATGATGCTTTTATAACATCTTGTTTTCCATTTGTCTTATTCATAAGATCATTGGCCTTAGGCGGGGATGGGAAACTGTTTCACAAACTTCCATGAACAGTGGTTCTTTTTCTCTTTTATTTTCTTGTTTACAATTCTTATGCATTAAAGAAAAATCATTCCAAGATTTCAATAAATAAGCAGTGAGGGCTGCAGATTAGGTTAGGGAATTGATCTGGGTCATTGTTTCTGGCAGTTTCCAACTACTGTTGTCACTTAGACTTGCTTATTCTCACATGTGCCACTAGAGGCTGTGCTTTGCTTTTGTAAAGAAATTGGCACCTTGTACCGATCTTGGAGAAACTGGATCTAGAGCCTGAATCTTTTTATTTTAGCTAGAGAGCTTTTGGGAGATGTTTCCCATTCAAGGGACTTAATTCATGCATTCAGAGTTGTTTTAGTTCACTTCTTTCTTTTGATATCTGTAGCATAGTATTGCATGAGTGTTTGATGGAATTTAGAGAGGGAATTTGTGGAATTATTGTCGTGAAATTAATGTCATGAACACATGACATGTAGGTAATTTGTCCTCTTTCTTGCCATGTTGGTATTGCTTATTCAGTAAGCCTTGGAAAACTTTACTTAGTGCCTGACACATAGTAGTAAGCATTTGATAAAAATTAGCTTTAATTATTATTTTAATTTTAAATTCTCAGGAGGGCAAGTTTACATTTAAAAGCTTCAGTGACTTTTTATAAAATTCAGATTTTTACATAATACCTAAAAATATCCTGTTCTTGGCATTATTATTTAATTTATGTGGCAGAATTGTGGAGAAATGTATTTTTGTGATGACAATTGGTGGGCAATATGTAATGTCATAGTTCTCACCACTTCTTATGAATGTTGTTGGTTTCAAGCAGAGCTCTATCTTAAGTCTTCACTGATACTGTTAGACATAAAATCTGTTCGAGTGTACTTCCACATATGTATCATTAAGAAAATTGAATCTGAGTCTTTTGTAAAACGAAGCTGTGTATTTGCCTAAAAAATATGTGTAAATATAAGCTTTTTAGGAATGTATGGCATGCATAGAGGCTGTGATCATTGCCAAATAAAGGGTACATGGATTAGTCTGAGTCATTCTGTGCCTGCTGGTAAGTACGCCCTCACCATCACTGTACTAGGTGTTTCACTAAACACTACAGCAGACCGACCCTCCCAAGGCATCAAAGCCTGGAGAAAATTTTTATTTGAAAACCAACAGGGAAGCAGGTGCAGAGTGGGATGTGGTCATTAAGGAGAGCACAGGTTGAGAACAGAGTATGGGCTTATGTCAGAGCTGTGGGTTGGAGGTGAATAGAAGGGGAGGAAGAACAGTAGCTTATAGCACAATCATGGGGTGGAGTTTGTGAGAACAAGTGGTTCCACGTGACAGTTGAAGCATTTTGGAAACACCCAGGTCTTGGCATTTAAGTACTGGTCACATGCTCGCAATTAGAGTTCATGCAAAGTTTTGTTTTTCGTCAGCCTCTGAGTAGGCATCACTGTTCTGCAGTCTTAAAATAATCAGGGAAAAACAGAGCTGCTTTATATTATCTTCCTTGCTTATTCTTTTGATTTTGTCATTCACTTTCCCTATTTTTCCCATGCTCAGAACTCCATCCTTTTGCTAGAAATACCTGTTTATATGAAGGAAGGTGCTGTTAGGAATTGATTTTAAAAACAAAGATGTATGTTTTAGAGTTCAATGATAATGAAGTGGGAGATGGGGAAGCAAAAGAAAGACTTGGTTTACATTTAAATCTTAAACTTGGAAAATCGTAATCTGACTTTACATTGGCCCATTGTTTTTGTTTATATTGAGTGGCTTAAAGAAAGAAGAGTCATGTTTATGCTCCATATTAACTAATACAGTTTTTCAGTCTTCTCAACATTTCTCATTTGGGTTTGTCTCCATTGGGGCTTTTCTGTTCACTTTCATAAGCCACAGAATCTCTGTTACTATCAGTTTTTACAGCTTAGCATTTTTATATTTAAATATTACATTTAAAGAATTTAAATCAGTTCATAACAAATATAACAGGATGAAGTTTTATGAAATCATGTTTGTGTAATCATTTTTCATTAGTTGTTTCTTGGTGAAATACACTTATTGCTATGATGTGTCTCAAGTTATTATTGATAGTAACTCTTTGGAAGTGGTTTGTCAACTCTTTGTTCAGATAATAAAATGATATTGCAAGGAATCTTTGGCTCAAACAAGATGAGAAGAAAAATGAACTTTTGCTTTCCACGATACATCTTCATGAACCTGAAATGGTGATGTTTTAAATAAATTAGCTGTTTCATTATTAGTCTCCACAAAGGGAAAATAACCAAAGTAGCAAGCTCTTAATATATTTTTAGCATAGTATGCCAGACATGTTATGGTTTACTCACTGTCCTCATAACCTGTATTTGCATATAGCTCTTCTTTGCCTCTTTAAAGTTAATTTTATTTTTAGCCCCAATTCAAGGGTTTCTCCATTAATATATGTGCAGTTATGATCTTACTCTTCTCTAAACTGACCACTTATTGTCCAATGTTTTCTTTTAATGATTAAATATTATAGGCCTCTGGCATTTGTAATACATTACTGTAGAGATAAGCCATAAATATGGAAAAGGTATGAACTCTGTAGAATAGGGTTTTTAGCTTGTCTTACTTTGTAACACTCTGTGCTCACAGCACAGTGCCAAACATGGTAAGTGCTCTCTGAGTGCTTTGTGAATTCAAATAAGATTAAAACATAATTATATTTTGGAAGTCTTGCAGTCCTTTAAATGAGTGCATCCGTACAAATGAGTACATAAAAAGATTTAGGAATGACTGCTCTAAGAATAAGAATTTGATTTGTTTAGACGTTATATTAAAGACTATTTTTAGTTCCTTAAAGACTGTTTTTCTTTTGAGATCATTAGAATCTCTTTTAAGGCTTATTACTTTTCCCAGTTGGAGAGAGATATATACACCCTTGGTAGAAACTCTGGAAATTTTTTTTAAAAAGGAAAAAAAATTCTCATGTTTTATACCATACACAAAGATAATCACTGTTAACATTTTATTTCCTGCCAGACTTTTCATTGGGCAGCTTTTAGCCTTTTTTTAAGTAATTGTAATCCTACTCTTTCCACTTAACATTATAACATACATTTTTTATATTATAAATTCTTCCTAAGTATTGCTTTAGTAGTTTGCACCGTAGCACATTGGAGCTCCTTAATTGAGCAGGCATGAAAAGGGGATGGTAAAATGCCTATTTTCCCCCTTCTTTAAACATTGGGAAAGAGGTGAGTAAATACACATCTGTTCCTGATATTTAGATGTCAATGACAGTGATAGGCTGACCAGCCTTTTGGCTTACAGTAGATTTGAAGATATCCAGGCACAGAGTAGTAAAGTAGTTGATTACCATGGAGCTGTAAATACATGATATTATAATTGTTTGTAGTTGTTTTTGAAGCATAAACCAGACTATATTTTGGAAAATGAAAAATGCTGATCTTGTAACTTAACATTTTGAACTATGGAGACACTTAATAGTTTTGTTTATGTCATACATTAGTTGAATCGTCCTGATAAACCTATGAACTGCCTGTATCAATTACAAGAAAAACAGAAATTCATATATTTTTTAAATTAACTTGTGTACTTCAATTTTAAGAAAAACTTCTAGGTAATCATATATTTAGTCTGAATAATAAGGAATTGAAGAAATACATTCTTTGCAAACTTCCCTGTATTGTGCTGTGTTGCTTTCTAGATGTTATATCATGAGGAAGGACATGGAAAAATATGTATTTTGCCCTCAAAAAAGTTGCAGTTTGTAAGAGTATTAATTTCATTAATTTCCTACCTATGTAGTTTCTCAGGAGGTTATTTTGATATGCTGATATATTTTTTAAAAGTGGTTATATTGGGTGATGTTGAATGAGAACATTTTTATTTTGTGTATTACTACATTTTTCACCATCTGATTCATATTCCAAAGGTTTATTCTGTATCCTTAGTCAGTGGATAGCAGGCTACCATACCTTCTGGCCAAAGATAGCACATTATAGATATTTTCCACAGCTTATAGGCCCTATGTAATGGTTCTCTTCTTTGTTTGACCTCTAGACTAGTGGTACACATTTGGGGGATGTCACTTGTGATTGAGGAACACTAGGACATTGAGTGTGCTTGGTGCTCTGGAAAGACATTAACAACAATGAACATCTTTTGAAAGCTTACTGTGAGCCAGGCACTCTGCTGTGTACTTGACCTGTTATGTTCTTGTAATCATATAATTCATTAGGTTGACACTGTTATTATGTCCATTTTACAGATAAGGAAACTGAGACTTAGGTCAAGTAGTTTGTTTAAAGCAGTATTCAGAGACTTGTATGGCCTTCACAGTGGTGATAGAAAGATACTTTGGGTGCTGGCATGGTTGATCTGATGTCCTTAAATAAATTGGGAAAACAAGCTTCTGTTTGGAGAACAATCTGACAGCTCTATATCGAGGATCAGCTCTGTAGTAAGACTCATTCTCTGTCATCAGAGTGCTCACTAGCTCTTTTAGAAGAGGCTGTGTACTTGGTACCCATAAATAAAAACTAGGTTGTAACTTCATCAGATGAATTGCAGGCAATAAATGCTGTAGACATTGCATTATTGGAAAGATCATATTGTGAGAGATGGTCAGGAAAAGTTGTTTAGAATTTCTGGACTTACATATGCAGGGAGAGTATTAAGGGCAGGAAGCTACCATATTAACAGAGGTTAAAAAAGCACAAGGGGTGTAATAGGATTGTGATTTTAGATAAAGCAAGAGCGTAATGGCAGCAGGTTAGGAAGACTGGTGGGGACTGCATCGTGAAGAGCCTTGAATTCCAGACAAAGGAATTTGGATTTATTCCCTAGGCTCTGGGAAGCAGTGAAAGGTTTAGGAGGAATTGTTTGTATATAGACTATGATCTAGATTTCTCATTCTTTAGAAAGGGCACCTGCCTAGAATATTATTTTCTCTCCATGACTTTAGGTCTAGAATTGTCAATACCTGTTTTTGAAATCTACCTGTCAAAAACCATAAGAAAAAGAAAGAAGTTGATGCAGTAAGAAATGACCCTTGGAGGCTTTGCAGTGTTTTGTTTTGTTTTCAATTTCCCTTCCCTACTTACTCACAGAATACTGGCAAATCTGTACGTTCTCTAGAGAAATAATTTGAGAGACTTAATAATTTTGAGTCTCGTCCTTCCTGTATCCCATTCTGAAATCTTGAATGTGCTGACTCCTTATTGTAATATGACAGTGTTTATTGTGTTTGGTTCCAGTGCCTCGGTCACCCTCTCTGGATGTAAGGCATTCCCACAATATTTGGAAGGCTTGCTTGTCTTTTCAAAGGTCGCTCTATTTACTCTGTCCTACTTTATACAGTCATGTGGTGAAACTGAGGCCTGCTCTGTGGATCGGCTTTGTGCCCACCCTAAGATAACTGTTGCTGTAACACTCACCATTTGATCAGTTTCTTGTAGGTAGACACCCTTTTATGTCTTTTCACAAACATCATCTGCTTTACGCATGGCTTTGGCAACAAGGTTGTAATTAAAATTAGTAAATTGCTGCTTAAAATAAAGTTTTGCTGGCTTTGTAAAAAAAAAGTCAACTGTTTTCAGTTTGACAAACACATTTGTTTTTATGCCACCCTCTAGATCTGTCATAATTATGTAGATGGTTCTTGTTCCGACACGATAAAGGAGCCTCTAACATTTTAATGCACAACAGAATATCTGGCTGAACTTGGTTGTTATACCAGTTAATGTACATAGGATTAACACAGTTTTATTCAAAAGGCCAGAATTAAAAGAATTTTGATATACATACTGTTGACCCCGAATCTTACTATAAGTAATAACAAACTATTGCCTCTAAAATAAAAGAATTTGGATTTTTTTTTTTTTGCATTTTGAGTGGCCCTTTGAACCAATTCTGATTTCCTTCATAAAGATGATGATGCTTTAACCAGCCCTGGCACAACCATTTCATTGTGTACAAAGGTGCTTGTGGGAGGCTGGGGGGTGGGGTGGGAGGGTACTCTGAGAAACTATGAAAAGCATGGGAATTAAAGTCATAGGCTCCTTTGGACGTTTTGGAATCCTAAAAAGTAAAAGTTACAATCATTTAAGTATAATGTTTCTCAGTTTCACTAAATGGCAAAAACTAGATTCTTCCAGTATCTTGGGAAACTTAGAGCCTGAATTAAATAGAAAATAAAAATTAGACCTGTTAACTCTTGGTTGTACCATAGAGCTTTTTAAATATATAGTACCTCCTTGCTGCATTACTGTGATAACTAAATGACTTTTTCCCAGTCCTAAGTTTTTATTTCCGAGTAACACCGCTCTTGCCTCCCGACACCTTGTTAACTTGATGCTTGCTTTCTGTAGGCGGACCTATGTCGGCAGCATGCCTGGGCGTATAATCAATGGCTTGAAGACTGTTGGAGTTAACAATCCCGTGTTCCTATTAGATGAGGTGGACAAACTAGGAAAAAGTCTACAGGGTGATCCCGCAGCAGCTCTGCTTGAGGTAAGACTTAGAAACTTCCCTGTCTTTGATCACACCTGAAGAGTGCGGATGAGAGCAGATAATTGTATTCAGTAGCATATACATTGATGTGGGTTTAGTCATGGGAAAAAGTGTGATACAGACTAAAACCTGAAGCAAATTAATATTTAAGTTAAAATGTCTTTGAGATTTCTTCTTTCTTTCTCTAATAATCTCCATTTCTTTTTTCTTTTTTGTTTTTATCAAATACTTGAAATTTTATACGTGTTTTTTTTTAGAGACCAGTAGTTCTATAAGGTTATTACAAAAAACAGGAAACAAGTCTTCTTCTCCCTGGGGTCCCCCATGTCTACTTCTACTTGTTGACCTCTTTAACTTTTAGTTTAATCATCTGTCCTTTCTCAAAATAACATGACTATATTGCTGCTTCTTTTTTTTTTTTTTAAAGACTTTATTTATTTATTTGAGAGAGAGCGAGAGAGAGCATGAGCTGGGGAAGAGGCAGAGGGAGACGGAGAAGCAGACTCCCCGCCGAGCAGGAAGCCCGATGCGGGGCTTGATCCCAGGACCCCGGGATCACGACCCAAGCCAAAGGCAGACGCTTAACCGACTGAGCCACTCAAGCGCCCCTGCTGCTTCTTGATTATACAGTTTCTGGCATTATCTGTTGATTCTTCTGTATAAGAGATGAGGATTTCACTTGCTTTCTTCCCTCCACCCCCACTATGTCGTTTTTTAATACCCCCAATCTCCCAGTCTAAATTGTATCCTGATTTTGTTAAGTCACTGTCAGATACTTAAATTAAATTATTATAAGTATGTAAGTGCTTTTCACAGCTGAGCCATATGGTAAATTATGATCACTTTTCTTTTCCTGTCCTTCTTTTGTTTTGCTGCACATTTAAAAAAAAAATCTTTGTAGAGCTAATAGTTGTCTTGTTTCTTCTGCCTTACTTCCAGCAGTTGTCTAAGTCTCCTTTCAAGACTAGTAGACACTGTGGGGTACCTGGGTGGCACAGTTGGTTAAGTGTCCAACTCTTTTTTTTTTTTTTTAAGATTTTTATTTGAGAGAGAGAAAATGAGAGAGCACACGAGAGGGGGGAAGGTCAGAGGGAGAAGCAGACTCCCCGCCGAGCAGGGAGCCCGATGCGGGACTCGATCCAGGGACTCCAGGATCATGACCTGAGCCGAAGGCAGTCGCTTAACCAGCTGAGCCACCCAGGCGCCCCAGGTGTCCAACTCTTGATTTCAGTTCAGGTCATGGTCTCAGGGGTATGAGATCAAGCCCTGCATCAGGCTCCACACTCAGTGCAGAGTTTGCTTGAGTTTCTCTCTCCTTCTCCCTCTGCCCCTCCCCCCCTGCTCCCACATGTACACTCTCTCTCAAATAAATAAAATCTTAAAAAAAAAAAAAAACAACTTGCAGACACTTTAAGCATTTGTCAGTTTGATCTCCATCACACCTCCAGCTTGACCTAGTTGTTGTCCACATCGGGTACCTAGCTGTCTTGCTAGGTAGGATCTCCCTTCGCCTCCCACTGTTTTGGATTTCCTGTTTCCTCTCTTCCATGTCTTCCTCATTCTTGCTTTATTCTCTCATTTTCTTGGTGTTATTCTACCAGTAGATTCCTGAGAAGGCTTGCATGGGTGGGTTAGAGTTTGCATATCTGAAAATGTCTTTATGTTTCCCTTATTCTTGATTGGTAGTTTGCATTCTCGTTGGACATAATTTTCCTGCAGTATTTTGAAGACATTGCTCCATTGTTTTCCAGTTTCCTGTGTTGCTGTTGATTAGACCAAGGCCATCAGATCCTGTCTTTTGTGACTTGTTTTATTCTCTGAAAACTTTCAGAATCTGCTCTTTATCCCAGTGTTCTGAAATTTTACAGTAATCTGCCTTGGCATGGTTCTCTCTCTCTCTTTTTTTTTTTTCATTTTAGCTGATGCTTTGAAGATTCTTTGAATTGGAAAATCCTGTCCTTTATTTCCTTAAAATTTTCTTGAATTTAATGATTTTTTTTCTTCATTTTTTGGGAACTCCTATTAATTGGATGTGAGATCTTTAATTTTCTCATCCTTTTTGTTTTTTTTGCTATACTTTTTATGAAGACTTCCTTTATCTATTAATCCTTCTGTGAGTTTATTATTTTAAAGAACTTTTTCTTAATTTCTCTGCTTGTTCTTTTTATAGTATCTTGCTCGTTACATAAGTGTAATATATTCTCTTTGTGAGAAAGATATTAATAGATATTTTTTTCCTTTTCTTTAAGCTGCTTTAATCTATTATATATTTTTTCCTCTGTCTTTTTTATTAGAGTCCATTAGATATCTGGTAATTTTTGTTTGTTCATATTTAATAGTGAGGAACAGAAATGCTGATTGGCAGCTGTGCACATCTGAGGAGGGTTTATTGACTTGAGTTTCACAATAGGGTTGGCTGGGCTGTTTGATTGAGGAACGTCTTAGGTCACTAACTTCAGTCTCTTGAGGCTGGTCAGATTTCTCAGAGAGGACTCCTTAAGTCCCTTGCCTTTAGAATGAAGGCTGGTCTGCTAACTTCCTGGGAATCAAGCAAGGGGAGAGATGGGAGGGTGGGGACTTCCACTGCATTCAGCATCCCAGATGTATGCCTTCACCTGAACTGTTGTTTTCAGTAGAGTAAATACTCTACTCAGCTGTGCCCAGGGTCACTTGGGCAGGGAATGACTATTTTATTTTATATTCTTAGGAAAATAAACCAGTATTTTGCTGGGATGGGGGAAGGGATCTGGGACCTGACTGCTTCATAAACTTTAACCAGTCCTCATTTTACTAGCCCTGCCCCCACAACCCTTACTGTGGTTTAAAGAAAATACTAATATTCAAACTGATTCATAAAATTGAGGGAAAACTTGCTTTGTGAAAGTTTGTTTTTTTCCTTGTTTATTTCCTTGCTTTGAGTTTCCTCTTCCTGTTCCTTTTCTGTTTTTGTAATCTTCTTAGAACAGGATGACCCTGGGACACGTGTCTTGTAAGCAGGGAGACCATACATTCTGGTTTGCTTGGGACAATCCCATTTTATGCCTAATTATCAATTGCACTCTCTTTTAGTCTCAGAAGTGGGTCCTGTTTGGACAATAAAAAGTACAATTGTTGTACTTAAAAGCCACAGAACTTGGAGATAAGAGTTTCGTTTGGTTTTGTCTGTTTTTACTGTAAGGCAGTTCTGACTCAGCAACTTGTTTACTCATCAGTACTACGAACAATAAAATAGTGAACATTACTGAAGAGTTTAGTGGCTTCTTAGATGATAACTTCATTTGACTTCCAGTTTAATTTACATTGGGGCATTTTTCAGATGATCTGACAGATTTTCTCATTAGACAGTTATAGTTACCCTGTTGAAAAGAATTTGAGAATAATCCCTGATACTTCAGTTTCTCAACATACTCTGTGAGAGTCCTGAAACAAATCCAGCAAAGGCAGCTTTACAAGTGGTAGGAGATGATTAAGCCCCCTGTTTGTTGTACAGTATATTTTAGGTCTTCATCTAGTGCTTTGTAGCGATTGAGTAACATTTGTTGAATTGAATTGATGTTTGGTAACAAGCAGCTGGTGTGGTGATATTTTCTTGCCTGGTAGAAGTTGGTATTCACTTTTTTGGTAATTGATTTATTAATATTCCAAATAAAAGTATTAAAGCCTCAAATGATACCTCAAAGTAAATGCTACCTGGGGCCACATACTTATCACTGTAGTTTAGTTGTAAGTAGCATCAGTTCCTTATAGACTGGGGTTCTGTAGAGTGAAGCAAATACATATACAGAAGAAATGAGTGTCTTGGTACCTGACTTCCTTCTCCCTCCCACCTGCTCCAGTCCTGGGTAAAAAACCTCTTACCCCTCACGGATTGTTGAAACAATTAAATGATATATATGTAAAAGTGCTCTGGAAACTGTAAAGTACTCTACAGATGTTATTTTAATTTAATATCCACTGACATTTCTTCTTTGTCCATTTTGAAAACCACTTGCTATTTCTATCACCTTTAGACCCACCTAAATGAAAAAAAGGACAAATTACTCAACACCTTATATTTAAAGTATAATATTAGCGTCTGGCATATCCAAGAGTATGGCTTTTTATCTTTCCACATAGCCTACTTTTTAATGAAATGACTTCTGGTTATCATTTATAAAATACACTCATACAAGATTATTTTATAGCTAATTTATATTAGAACAATATATATTAGATATAAAGAACACAATAGTAGGTATAGAGTCGTTACTCCAAGTAAACTAAAGAATATACTTGTTCTGCCTATAGATTCTCCTCACCTTCATATTTATTCACGAAGGAGATGCCTATTTATCCAGTTACTGTTGTCAACAAAGGAATATTTACTCAAAATTTAGAGAGCCTCTTTTGAAAATTTATTGGAAGAACATAAAAACAGGTTCAACTAATTGATTAAAAATGTTGGTAGACAGTAGAACTTGGATAAGTCTGTTGTTAAATAGTAATAAAATGTCATCTTTTTATGTAATTACTAAACTCAAGAAAATTATAGAATTCTTATCAGGTAGATGCAATCATATTTATAATTGATGCAAGATTCAGACTTTGTTATAAAACATAAGAGCACTTCTGAAATACATTGGGCTAACAAAATGCATAGATACTTTACCAATTTTCTATATAAGCAATATTTACAGTTCTGAATAATATATGGTATCCCCAAAGTAGAAAAGTCACTAATATAGACCTAGTAAGCTTTTTTTAACCGAAGTTCTTATTTAATTAGAATTAGGTCCTTTTAGTAATTAGATCAAGTTGTGTATATTTACTACTTGGATACAATAGACATAAGATCGTCTAAGCTCTACACCTATTGTCAAAGAATGTCAAAGGAGAGGGATTTGGGAATCATCTAATCCAGCTTCATCCTTTTATTAATGAAAAATCTGAGATTCTGGATGTTACCTTAATTTTTTATCTCCTCACAGGCTGTATTTACAGTATAAATTCTAAGATCCAGC